AATGTTGTGCCTTTTTGAACGCCCTGTAGAACATAGCTCTGTTCCTTAAAAAAACACAATACAACAGAAAATATGAGTCATTAGGCACTAGATTGGTTATTAATTATCAATTCCCCAACCTCCCTCAATTCTCCCAACCATCTTACGTGTTAATTTTCTAATTTCGGAAAGATTAATTTTCCACCCCATCAACGTAAAGCAATTAACCCTTGACACTCTGGTTAAGTCTGATGCCAAATTCGATCGCGGTGGCCACAAATATAAACACGGCGGTGACGACGATGTATAAATAGCCAACCCACGCATCACCAAGGCTATGTAAATAACAAGGGCGGAAACTAGACAAGTGGGGGGTGACGAAACACAGAAATAAACGGGGGACAACTGTGTCTACAGAAATGTCTCTAGTCTAGGGAGCTTCGAGATAAAAACAAACACAAAACTACACACAATGGTGAATTGTAACGGATAAGCATTGTAGTTTTGTTGTTGTTAGTGTTTATAGATGAAATGTCAAATATGTATGTTACATCGAGTTTGGTACTTTAGTATTACTATATCTACCACATCTAATAACCTAACCTAACCTCACCTAACCTAACCTAACCTAACCTAACCTAAGGGTGGACTATGTTTTAGGTTAGGAATATTTTGTTTTTTAAACTAAATTATATCTTATTTGCAAGTCAATTTATCGGTGTGGTCGGTACAGTGCCAAAGTACTAGAGTTTTACTTAATTATTACCTGGAACTATACTTTACAGTAGTTATGAATTGGGTTTAAATTAAAGTATTTTCTAAAAGATCACAATATGACAAATTTTGTCTACGTGATTAATACTTTACTTCGGAGTAATCGAATCTATTGTTGGTGTAATGGTGTACATATAAAATACCCCAGCACCAAAACCTGTGTTAAGTGAAGTTTATGGGGTACTTAGGTTTGCTGCTACATGGGAGATAACTAAGTGTGTTTGTCATTGAAAGGTTAGCTTAGAGACAAACACAAAAATTTCCAAATTTGAACAAAATATGTCCATAAACAAGAAAACTACAACAGATTTCTTGACCTGTACTCCGGAAGAACAAAATGAACATTTTACATGTAGAGTTATTTTTAAATTTCTCCGCAACCATTAGACGTACAGCTCTACAAAATTGTTTGGAAACAATATGCAAAATGATGATGTCCATAACACATTATCGACCAAATCGTTTAAGCATTTTGAAACCGATGCAGACATTACTGCTGAATTAAACAAAGCGGTCCAATTTATCATATGTGTTATTATTACAATTATCCATCTCAACTGTAGAATAAATTTATCCACATCTCTTTCAGCTTTGGACCTGTTTCAACTAGTATCGTACCAACTCATCGTAAACCTTGTACTTATCTCAAACATATCCGACTTTAGCCGTGGTTGACACAATTTCTGGTTGTCTATTTCTGGTTGTGTGGGAGCGGATGATATCTGGACCTATCAACACAGAGGACGACTTGGCTGAGACTGGTCAAGGGGACGAGCTTTGCAAAAGGAAGGTCATTTGGGGTTTTCGTGTGACATGACGTTTGTTTGTACGTTCACTGACCAAACCCACATGATATAATGTTTGTTTATGCTAAAAAACAACTTGGATCTCAGATTCTTAGTGATTAGCTAAAGATAACCTTCATTGATTAAATACATAGATTATAGACGTTTCTGGTCGTTGTCGTAGATATTTAATGCGATGTCCTTTCTAATTTAATAAACAGTAAACTATTTTCTTTCGGGCATTACTCCATTACCGTATATAATGACATAGTGTGAAGTGTTTTCTACTTGAAAATAAGTAAGAGCACAAGGTATAAACCTTTAGTACATTTCTTCACCGTAACATCATTACATGTATTAAGAGTTTATTATTTTGGTAGGGCCTTGGATTTAATTTAAATTTTATTTATTCATTTTTATTCAATTATACTTATTTACAATTTTCCAGAATACTCTCCTTCAAAACCGAAGTTTGCTTGTGTGATTCCAAGTGTGCTAGTTTCTGGACCCACCTTTATTTGTTCTTTATCAATTAAATAATTTATATTTTGGCTATCGTACAAAAGGTCAATGTAAGATAAAATAATAGGTTTGGACTATTTCATTTCAAAACGAGTAGAAAATGCTACAAAATATTGAAGGTGCTACAACACACGAAAATTCAAAGATAAAGATTCATCAGAGTATGGGTTTGATATACATGAGATGTAGTGAATACTATAATAAGGTTATTTCATACCCAAAACAGTATTATAACTGAATCTTAACGAGACATACACAAGTTACCTTCCTCTTTCACCATACAACATTGGTTTTTTACTATGGTTGTAAGATTTTACAGGAAGGGGAAGGGAGGGGAAGCCAGCCAGGAAGAGTCGAAGGGGAACAAGAGTCTGACTCAGACAAGGTCACACTGAGGTCGCCGCCTGTTTAGGTCAGACGACAGTGAGTAACACCTGCCACAGAGTAAGGAGATCCGAGCACATGCATAGAGTAAACAAACACTATGTAAAAGTAAGATTCGTTATAAACAGGAAACTGGCGAGGGAATATGTCTAGGATTGTTTTACTATTTAGGTTAGACGTAGACAATAACACCTGCCCTATGGCAAGGTTATGTTTATGTGTTTAGGTTATGTTTGTTTACTCTGTGCATGTGCGTGGATTATCTTACTCTATAGTAAGATAATACACGCACATGCATAGAGTAAACAAACACTATGTAAAAGTTAGATTTGTTATAAACAGGAGACTACCGAGGGAATATATCCATAGACTAAGCATCCTTCACGTGTTGTTTACTAACCAGACGATAACAACACCTGCCATAGAGTAAGGAGATCCGTGCACATGCATAGAGTAAACAAACACTACTATGTAAAAGTCAGATTCCTTATAAACAGAAAAATAGTGAGAGAATATGTCTGTAATTGTTTTCCTGTTTAGGTCAGTATTATAACCCACTAATTAACATTTTGTATTTATTTTTTACCTTTTTATTTCACCTGGAATCGAACCAGCGACCTTCAGATTTGAAGGCAAGCACTAAACACTCGGCTACCCAAACAGTAATTATTATTGTAGTCGTTACATACAGAATGGAGAAGAATTAATTTATTCCCTCAAAAACAAGCATACAACAAAAATAGTTTACCCTCAGTTATTAACTGATTATTTCATCTATCAGTTGTGGTCAGTATACAACAAAACTTATCTTTATCAGCATAAAGATAGCCCAGTCTTATCAGTCCTTCACTAAAATGATAAGTCCTGCCGCTACATGTAACGTTATAAAATTATCGTAGGTCTACTTTCAACATTATACAAATATTTTTCCCCTAAATGTGTAACACAAAACTATCTTTAACTTTTCCATACAGATAAAACAAGAAAGATAAACATGAGATTTAATTCTAAAACATGCTTAAAGATCCCATAACTTGTATTTTATAAACTTTCTTTGGCATACACTTTTACAAAAATGTTGAGAGGATTCCTTTTTATATATCAATATTCAACATATTAAAATACTACACAAAAGTGTCTAAAATTAATAAAATGGAGTGGCTAGTTGTTAACTAATGGAACTTTACAAAAGATATAAAAAACAATCCTTGAGCAAAAATAAATAAAAACTCTCGCATTTAACACTGTAAGAACGGGCGGTCATTAATTTCGCCCACTGACCTGAGTCAGGTAGTCGGGTATTCCTGAATTGCACCAACTACTCCAGGGAGCCACCCAACACGTTCATTAACTGCACCAAGTGGCGGCCCTCTTTGACTGTATGAGTAGGTTAGGTTGGGTTAAGTTATGTTAGATTAGATTAGGTTAGGTTAAGTTAGGTTCGATTAGGTTAGGTTAGGTTAAGTTAGGTTCGATTAGGTTAGGTTAAGATAGGTTAGGATGACATGTAAACAAGGACCTTCTGCCGGCTACTCACCCCTACCTGGCTTGAGTTTGGTGCAACTCTGAAACATTTTTGGGACCCTTTGAGGGCTTAGCGCAATTAAGGAACTCTTGGGCGCAATTAATGCACGACCGGAAGAACAAGCATTGACTATGGCACACGTCCCACAGCATATGAGTGTAATAGTCTCAGACCCGGACGTCATCTACACTAGACTACCAATCAATTGTCGCATGGTGACTCACACATAACAATGTCCTTTGTTTTCCATCAACCAATTCCCGCTTATATCCTGAACCAATTGATTAATGCCGCGACAGGATTAGAATTTATGACGCACTCTTAAATGAGTATTTGTCTACAGTTTTACATTTTACCTATGAATTGTAGTATAATTCGTACGATGAAGGAATCTAATTTACTTTATCTATGGTATAACCTCAATAACAAGATTCTCATGGGTAAAAAAACACTTGTTATCAAGGCTGACTCCTTATCGAGGTTTGCAATAACATGTGCTTAGGGATGTACAATTCAAGGGCTATAAAATCAAGGTTGACTTCTTATCGAGGTTTGCAATAACATGTGCTTAGGGCTATAATTAACTCAAGGGCTGTAAAATCATGGTTGACTTCATATCGAGGTTCCACTGTACCACTGAGAGGACATTTTATACCGGCGTAAAAGTTGTAGTCATTATAAGAATAGAAATAATGTGGTTCAATTAACCCTCTAGAAGTGTGTTTTGCGTAAAAGAAATGTCTACTCTTTTAATCTATGTTACTATCTTGGCTCTTGGTGTGCTATCCCTTTAACATCTAGGCCTATGTAAGGGAAATTTTAAATACGGATAAGACTATCTTTTAGTTTTAAATGGCACATTATACGTTCCCTGAAAAAAGTAGGATCCAAGTTTCAGGAAATTAAACCTGGCTTCTCACTTTGACAAATGGAGTTTAAAATGTTCTGAATTTTTGACATGTAAGTCAACAACCCTCTTTTAGATGTAATCAATTCACTTATCCTAATAGTAATTAAAATTGTTAGCTTACATTCTTTGGTGAGCTCAGTAAAGGCCCTTTTCTTAGGCTGTGGCTGTGGAGGTGAAATAGGCCATTGGCTGGACTCGGCCTCCGGCCTTATGGCCTGCGACATACTTCTCCTTAGGCCTGGAACAACCAACAAAATTTATAGATTGATATTAACTTAACAACTAATACAAATACAAAAATGTGCATATAAACTTAAAATAATATTACGCTACTTAATACTAAATATGGTGGTAAACGATCACGATTAGAGTGTTACTTTCATGTACTTGTATATGTACTTACATTACTTAACTATTTAGAACGTTTTGGAAGCGACACGATAGTGTATTTTGTACCTAGGGCCGAAAATGAGGGTTTGCTGGACCGATATAAAAACGATCGAGAGCTGCAAAACCATTTCGGTCCATGGTATGAACGCTATTTTTCACCACACTATACCCTATTACCACTATTCACCACAATAATGATGCACACTAATAGTCAACACAACTACAACTTAAAGGTTATGTGAAGAAATAATTTGAGGAATCAGCAAAAATAATAATAAATAGTTGCTAGGCAGCGGTGACAATAAAACAATTCTATTGCAATCTGTGGATACTGATTGTGTATTTATGCATTCACGTTTTAAGAAAGTTAAGCGGGCAGCTGATTTTGCGGCCCTAGGGAAAGCCCTGCTCGTTTCCCAAATGCCGATGACAGCTGGCATAGCCAGCAAAACTTTCAGCCATTAATAAACGTATGTAAAACAGCTAAAAACATCATACTGTGGTGAAAATGTAATTTAACCGGAAACCTTGCATTAGGGCTTATGTAAAAATATAGTCTCCTCATTTAACGAAAGACTAACATACCCTGTGTTGAATTCAGTTTTACGGGCCCTTTCCTGTTAATATGCGCTTTGCCTAACCCAACCTAAAATTAACCAACACTCGACACAATTGCAGACAATCATAACGTTTAAAACCTAAAAAAAACATAGTGGTGGTGAATTAACAGGAAATATCCAGGTTTATAAATTACTTGCACCACATAAGTTTTAGTTGTTTGCAACAATTCTCAATCACACCCTATTTACCCTATCCTATACCTATTTCTTCATTCTTATGTTGAAACTTAATCTTATACTAACTCCGGAATATGATAGTTCATTTTACTTATTGCACATTTTTGTTTTATTAAAAAAAATGTAGGCAACATTACTTTTATATTTCATACTGTGACTAGATCCAAATGTATTCTTTATAACTCAATTTCTGTAATTTTCGCGTCTTATTTTCGCGTCTTTACATGGTTATCTGGTATAAACAACCATTTCCGATACGAAACAAAATAAAAACATAAAAACGGCACTGGCCAAATGTACTGTCTGCTTTACCAAAACAAGATTTGTCCAAGAATTAACAATAATGTCAAACGTCTATTCTGACCATATATCTTAGTTTAGGTTGTTTACTCTTCTGAGTGTTTACACCCTCTACGTCATCATTGCACCACTTAATGACGTCATGATGACGTTATCACCATTGTTGTTGTGATAACAGGTGTCACTAGTCATGTTGTGTGGCAACATTTCTTGTCATGGGGGTTTCTAGGTTATGTTCACTTATCTTTTAAAATAGTATTGTGTCGTCATGATAGCACTACACGGGGTACTTAAAAATATAAAGTGGTTGAGTGAATAAGTTACAACATTTTTTGTAATTTTCTCCGGAACCTTTAATTGTGCAATAACGCTTCAATATACAACTTTTTTTTTGCTGTTTTAGCTCCACACGATAAAATAATTGAGCCATGGCGGAAAGCGAGAAACTACTGACAATGCTAGGACAATCATGAATTAACATAATCGTGTAAAATAATAGTCACATTTCAAAAACACTCTTCAAGATTCATTTTGACTCCCTTATTTTTTTAGATCCTATCAAAATACAACATAAATATTTAGGACAGACACATCTTTGAGCAGTTAAATTAAATGTTCAACATCACTACTTTCAATGCACTTTCAAACCAGTTCTTAGAATTGAAAAGATTCACTTTACAGCACAAGTTTTGTAAAACCTCTCTTGGAAGTTATAAGTAGTGAATTTTAGTAATTAAGTCGTGGGTAAAGTAGTGTACGCAACTCACTAATTAGCCTTTACGTAGAAGTTTTAAAGGAGCTCGTCAAGGCTCGTACCTTTACGTTTTTACTCGTTTCGTAAAGACTATCCTTACGCAATCGTTGCATAAAGTACTGTAATCAAACTACTAGGAGATAGCGAATCGTGGATATTTATAGACATGCACTGTGGATGCGATGCTCCCTGATGTGGATTAACGAACGCGCTAGTGCGTACTACGACTATCCGCAGTACTATCCTGATGATTAGACAAATTCGTTAATTACAAGGGGAAAATGTGGTTAGGATTCCACTATAAACTGTAGGCCTCTAAGTTGCCATTGACTGTATGGGCTATTAATTAACAGCTGTGTCTAAGGAACATGTCGGCCTTAGTCACTAACAAGACTACAAGATCGCGCCACTTATCCTACACTCATCCTTCACTCATATTTAGGTTAAATTACATAGTGGCGTTCTCATCTTAAATAATTGATAAAATTGAAAATAATTGATACTATTAACCTACAAATAACTGAATTTCAAAACTTACTCAAAAGCCGCACTCTTTGCACGTGCTGGCGTGCCAACAACATCCCAACATAAGTGTATGTCCAAGTCTCCATTGAACTTATCACTCCACTCCACTCCGGTAGTAACACACTACTGATGGAATGGTTTGAATCACCTATGGTGTAATGGTGAGTCACTGTCCATATGGACGGTCCATAAGTGACTCAATGCCCTGAGTCACTTACCCCTGGGGTGTAAACGTCCGCGATTCACCGAGCGGATATAATGGCTAAATAGCCGTTTTACACCAAGGGGTAGGTCGAACCAGTAGCTAGCTACATTGGGGGAATTAGGGATGGTGTGTATATGCCAAATATAGTGGAGTGTATTCAATTATTGTATTATTGTCAAGCCAATTAATTAAGGAGCGAAATAATTTGTGAGAGAATATTTTCGGATATTGGAACTAATGAAAATTCGTGAATTGGTTAACAATTTTACCTACGACATTTTTTTCAGTAAACGTTTCAGTTCAGTTCTTAGAATTGAAAAGTTTTACCATGTTTTACATAACAGCATTATTTACTTACATAACAGCATAGTTTTACTTAACACGGTAACGGACCAACGAGGTTCAAGGATTGAGAGAGGAGAAGTAAAATTGTAATTGTTCGAAATTCAACTAATCAGCTGTTCAGGCCAATTTAATTGTTGAGTGGTGCTATTAGTGTATGGTACAATGTTTCGTTGCATCACTGTCAGTGGCAATGCGAGGTTATAAACGAAAACATAACTTCTCTAGAAATTATGAGTAGTGATTTTTAGTAATTAAAACACTGTCGTAGGTAAAGTAGTGTACGCAACTAGCGTAAATAGTAAATAGTAATAGTACCTTAATTTTTCTACTCGTGTCATTAACATTATCTTTACGCAATCGTTGATTAAACTACTATTGCACAATATAATTAGCTGTTTATTACCAATGAAGGCAAATTATTGCGGGAACATATAATTTAATAAGGGACTTTTCTAAGCAGTAAAGGCATGAATGAACATTATCTTCAAGTGTAATATGCTACTGTTGTTCAATAGTCAAAATTTTGTCATCTTATTCCAATCAAATTTTCTCTATATTGTACTATACAGGGTGGGGCAGGGAAGTATCCCTAATTTTGAAGGTATATTTAAAGACAACCAAAAATGTTAGAACCAAACTTTTTATTGAGATTGAAAGGTCACGTCTGGGAGTTTATTTTAATATAACTTAACTTGGTTTTAAACAGCATATCCTGCAAGTGGTGTCCCTAATCTTAAATGCATTACTGTATTCTGGTTCTGGAGTTCATAATAACTTTGTGAAGCATTTGTTGTGGAATGCGGCAAAATTCAAGGTGAACTGCATCCTTCAAGGCATCTTGGGTCTTCCCTTAAACTACCCTAGGCTTAGCATCACTCCAATAGAGCACGTTATGCTTATTTACCGCTCCAGAAATATGGAAGTGTGCCTCGTCACTAAACAAAACCCGAGCAGCATGAGGTAGTCCCGCAATTAAGATTTCACACGCCTGCATTCGTTTGTTGCCAATCCCATTGTGTGAGTTCATGAGCAACTACCCTCTTGTATAGATGGAGGTGTAGGTCATAATGGAGAATACGAGGCACAGTATGACTAGAAAACGCCAGTGCCGATGCATGCTTACAAGCAGAACTTTGAGGAGACTGCCAAATCGATCTTCTGACAAGGTCAATGTTTTCAGGACCCCGGAAGGTTCTTTGAGCTCCAAATATCCTTCGCAATACACCAAAAAACACGAAAGTAATTCACCCACACCAAATTGTAACAGCTCTGCGACAGGCCACCCGATAACAAGTTTGCAGCCAACGGTAGCTGCACAGCAACAATAGACAGATTTTTGAAAAAAAATACATCTCGAGTGCAAAAGCACATTGCTCACTCGAAGAAGCCATGTCTACTACTGAAAGTGATATTCTTAGAAATTCCCAGAACAAAAGCTTCATTTGAGCCTAACACCATTCCTCCAGCACACCCCCACCACTCACAGTGCCATCTTAAAAGTAGGGATATTTCCCTGCCCCACCCTGTATGAAGAAGTCTGTCATGCTCAGACCGTATAAAAAACGTTCGGATGTCAAAATAAAAACGTGTATTGGCAACACATCGCTATAAATGTGACATTTTTTTCAGACCAGGAAAGGTTTCCACACTCGACATCCTTCGAAGGTCCTTCCTGATCGTGCTTCCAGGAAGTCCACGACGCGGTTGTATATACGATAAACATATACTAAAATCTCTACTGTAAATAGATATACACTCTTCTGTAGTACATCGGAATTAAACGTTATAATGTGAATTCATAGTAATTCCCACGGATATTCGAACAGAAACTGTATGAATCATAAACATAAACAAATGACGTCACGAGCCCGAAAGTAAACATACTTGTTTCAATATTTAAATGGAACTGTCAAAAAATTTCG